TGAATGGCTCAAGAAAAACAAAATTAAGGTTTTGGAGTGGCCAAGTCAAAGTCCAGACTTAAATCCGATTGAGATGCTGTGGCATGACCTTAAACAGTCCATTCATGCTCAAAAACCTTCTAATGTGGCTGAATGAAAACAATTCTACAAAGAAGAGTGGGCCAAAATTCCTGTGAAAGACTCATTGCCATTTATCGCAAATGCTTGATTGCAGTTGTTGCTGCAAAGGGTGGCACAACCAGTTATTAGATTTAGGGGGCAATTACTTTTTCACGTAGTGCCAGGCAGGTTTGGACAGCTTTTTTCCCTTAATAAATGAAATCATAATTTCAAAACTGCAGTTTATATTTACTCAGGTTATCTTTGTGTAATATTAAAATTTGTTTGATGATCTGAATCTTTTAAGTGTGACAAATATGCAAACAATTAAAAAAACAGGAAGGGGGCAAAAACTTTTTCACACCACTGTATATGCATTTGCAGGTAAGCTGGCATTGGAAAAACCTGGTTGAGCTTGATCAGCTGTGGATGCCTAAATGTCTGAAACTAGGCTGGTGCATAACCTTTACTCCAACACCATTTGAACAAGGTGTATGGAAGAGGCATTACATAGAGACAGTGCAGGAGCTTCACATTAGCAGGCCCAAGGTACGATGTCGCTGAAAGGCTGTTTTAGAGTCTCATTTACTGGAATAAATGTCATTTTTTGTGACTCACATTTTCCACATTCTCTAGGCACCTGTGAAGGAAGAGTTTATTATCCCTGAGGTGAAAGTAATTGGCAGTGAGATAGAGGGGTCACTTCCTGTGATCGGTCACAGGGAGTTGAATTCTGTCTTCCCAAGTCTTCATGGGAAGAGTAAAGATGGGAATAGCTTGGTGAAATCAGCCAAAGGTCTTCCGCCTTGGAGAGACTCAGACAGGCATCCCACTGACACAATACGCTTTAACTACTTGGATAACCTTGACCCAGTTGAGCATGCAAGAAAAGTGTAAGTGAAGAACTTATTTTGTTTTGCACACGCATAAATACATGACCGTCCAAAAGTTTGGGGTCAGTACAATTTGTTTTGAAAGAAATTAAAACTTCATCATGTGACGCTGAAAACTGGAGTAATGATTCTGAAAATTCAACCTTGCATCACAGGAATAAATTACATTTAAAAATATATTAAAATGGTTATTTTAAATCGTAATAATATTTCATCATATTTTCTACTGTTTTGATATAAATGCAGCCTTGGTGAGCATAAGAGATAACTTTCAAAAACATTTTTTTTACCAACCCCAAAATTAAAAAAATATATACACATATGTACACACTATGTATTATATTTGAGTCCTGAGGTTATAAAATTTCACAAAACTATATGTTACCCACTAACAGATATGCTGCATTATTTTAGTGCATTTTATGATCTGAAATTGTGCGTGTTGAAAGTATTAGCGCAACTACAGCAGAAAATGCTAAGCTGTCTTTATCTCTACAGACTCCTAAAGGAAAAAAGTGCTACAATAAGACAGGAAAACACTATGAAAGCACCATCTCACTCAACATACAAGCTGCGCAAGGCCAAATCTTTGGTAAGCTAATATAATTGTCATGTGACTGTGCTGTTGATTCTCATACAAATCAGCAGCAGCAGCATGCAAAGAATTCTCCAGAGGCGACATAACCAAGAGGCATCATGCATAATGATCAGACTATATGTGGAATATCATGGAAATGTGCTGCAGAGGAAAAAGAGGGCACTGTGTTGCTGGGGGAAGAAAAAAGCCATTATATTAAACATATAAACTTTTTTTGTTAGAAATATAAGAAAAATCATGGCTTTTATTTGTATATTTTCCCAGATGTTTTTATCCTTGGATCTCAGTGCAGCAGGAAAGCAAAACAAAAACAGGCCGCAATGGGCAGCACAGAACTTAGAAGCACTTCCGTCTAACAAGGACTCCATAAAGAGACTTTCCCAGACATCTCAATGGAATGCAGGGATACGTCCTGGTCCTGTAAGGCCTCCAGTGCCCAGACTGAGTAAGGAGGGGCTCCGTGCATCACAGAGATCCCATAGAAGCACACCAAGTAAGCCCATATGTACTTTCAATATCAATCTTAAGTAAGATATTGTGCTTTTATAATAAACTAACCTGACCAAGAATGTAAAATACTCTCCTGTGAAGTTTCACCAGAAAATATTTAATCATCCTAATTAATTATTAATAACATGATACAGTGTAACACAATTTGTTATATAAATTGGCTTAATAAACATTATTCTGTTTCAGCTGTGTCTCTTTTCGAAGGACAGCCATGAAGGAGAACATATGAAGCTCGACACATAAGGCCATCTTCTGGATGATGTTGTGATAGCAACATAAACGATTTGAAGTGATTCATACAAAGTTAATTTATTATCATGTCGTTAATTAATAATAATGTCATATATTGTTTTTATATGATTGTTTTTTCCTCGAGTCCCTTAAATGTGCCATTGTCCACTAGATGTCCCTGTCTGCTCAGAATGTTTGAGTGAGCAAATGGTTGAAATGTATTTTTATTGTTTATCATCTTGCTTTCTCTGTATTCTCAAATATAACCTGTTTATGCGTTTTTAAACTGATTACTGTCTTTACTGTGGAAAATAATATGAATATGTTAAACAATTATATGACATTTAACTCATTAAAATATATGAAACATAAACCTGTACTCATCTGGCTGTACTTAATAGGACCATTATTTTTCTTTTTTTTCCTATTATTATCTCAAAATCATTCTCTGTTGTGGTTAGGGTTGCCAACTTCAGAAAAGGAAAATAAGGGACAATCGTGGGTTTTCATAGAAAACTAAGGGACAGAATCAGGGACACACACACACAGGGCTATTATGTATATCTGATATATCTCTCTTTTATATAATAATAATAATAAAATGTATGGAGTCTTATCTCATCAAGGCTGTATTTATTTGATATTGTTTATCATCTTGCTTTCTCTGTATTCTCAAATATAACCTGTTTATGCGTTTTTAAACTGATTACTGTCTTTACTGTGGAAAATAATATGAATATGTTAAACAATTATATGACATTTAACTCATTAAAATATATGAAACATAAACCTGTACTCATCTGGCTGTACTTAATAGGACCATTATTTTTCTTTTTTTTCCTATTATTATCTCAAAATCATTCTCTGTTGTGGTTAGGGTTGCCAACTTCAGAAAAGGAAAATAAGGGACAATCGTGGGTTTTCATAGAAAACTAAGGGACAGAATCAGGGACACACACACACAGGGCTATTATGTATATCTGATATATATCTCTTTTATATAATAATAATAATAATAAAATGTATGGAGTCTTATCTCATCAAGGCTGTATTTATTTGATAAAAAAATACAGTAATAATGTTCAATATATTGCAATTTCTAATATTGGTTCCCTACCTTATTATACTTTAAAATATAATTTATTTCAGTGACGCAGCACTGAATTTTCAGCATCATTACTCCAGTCCTCAGTGTCACACGATCCTTTAGAAATCATTCTTATGCTGATTTATTATCAGTGTTGAAACTTGTGCTGCTTAATTTTTTTTTGGAACCTGTGTTCCATAAATAAAACAAAAAGTTAAAAAGAACAGAATTTATTCCAAATATAAATCTTTTCTAACAATATCACTTTTTATCCATTTAACATAACCGGAACACTTGGCAACCCTAGTTGTGGTAAACAAAAAGTCCTTTTAAATAAGTATATTTAAAAAAAATCCTGCCTGTGCATAAAAGGAATTGGAACAGGACTTTTATTATGAAGACTTGCCTCTCAGGTTGCCATTTTGAATCGGAGCGCCTGTCGCCGTGTTCACGCGGCTGGCTCTGGCTGTAATATCTAGTAGACTCGGTTCTGACTGAAGTAGGAAAGTGAAGGTGGAGCTGTCCGGGAGTTGCGTCGGTAGAGTTGACAGAAGTGAAATCCCTGGAAAAACTTTTTGCGGAAAATACCGGTAAGCATAACACGACTATATAACGGTGTCTAGCTTATTGAAAATAGTGGGGGAAATCTATAATTCGTTTATAAGCTTGTATTCACAATAATAGTTAGCTCGCGCTCTAGCTCTCTGTCAAACGTCTCAATATGCCCAGAGCCTCAGGATGTGTGACTCCAGTTCACTGTAGAAAAAGTACGTCTTTAATTCTATAGCCTTGTTTCAGCAAACCTCAGTCACAACTATTTTTATCGAAGAGATAAAATGCTCTACTCTATCGCGTTAGTAGTCCTCAGTGATCTATTCGGTGTCTGTTTCTGCGACTGTTTACAGTGAAGCCCACCCGCTGGCTGTTACATTAGTTGTCAGTTGGCAGTCTCGTGCGAGCAACGGTGTTTAATGGCCAACGGTTTGCTGTTTATTCAGAAGCACGTTTGTATCTGATTTTACACCTCAAAGGCTTTTAAATGGAAATTAGGATTTCAAAAGCGTTATATCTTAAAGTAATATATAATTCATGTGTGTTTTGTCAATGATATAGACTGCTGACAAAGATTAATCCAAGTACAGTTGACTTAAATGACCAGTAATATCATCGTACAGTAAAGCACTTAACGTTGCCTTAGGTTACTTTGAACTAAATGAGTCTGCTAAATGGAAGATTATTTTATTTTGCATAGCTTTCATTTTCTTCGGTTGTTGTACATTTAAGTGTCCAAAATGATAGCATTCCAGTCATCCACTAAATGTAAGTCTATACAATTGCATTTCTCCGGATAAAGGTTCTTTCAAAGTGCTAAACTGGTGAAGAGAAGTTTCAGGTTGTTATTGTCAACCTCAGGCCACAACAGCTGTTCCTTTACTGACACTCAGGAGAGCTGGGAAACTTAAATCCCACTCATTGGATCCTGTACAGGGATGGATGGAGGGCAAGTAAGGAGGACACCCTCATAGTTTGAAGTGTATCTCTAAATTGTTGAGATACTTCTCTTCCATTTTCTTCAATGCTTCAGTTTTTATGCTTCTCTGGACAGCCAGAGGGTTTCTAGATTTATTATTGTTTTCCCAGATCAATTGTGAAATGCTGCCTGCTTCCAGAAGGATGGCGACAGCTGCGGTGCTCTGCATGCTGTTTGAGCCTCTGGGTATGGCTTTGCATGATATCTTTTGAAATGACAAGGATCTTATTTCAGGGTAGTTTGACTAGTCTCCCATCCTGGCAGAGTTTTCATTGTGGTTAGAAATGCACAGAAGCACCTGGAGATTGATAATGGCATAGTTTTTGTGGACATGTACTTCCTCTTTCAGTAATATTACCCATGCAATACTACATGAAATTCCTTTTTTTCCCCTTCTGATTATAGACTGTTGGCTTAAGCCTTTTTGTCATTAGATTGATCAGTCTGCATCTGAACGGAACAGAACAATATTTCAGGCCTAAATTAGTGTGCATTTCACTGCACATGTGCTGCCTTTGTTTTCAAGCCCATCCGTGCTGAGTAGCTAATTGATTGGTCCGAGTCATTTTTCTTTTTCAGGCTTTGATGCGCTTCTTATTTCAGGGTAGTTTGACTAGTCTCCCATCCTGGCAGAGTTTTCATTGTGGTTAGAAATGCACAGAAGCACCTGGAGATTGATAATGGCATAGTTTTTGTGGACATGTACTTCCTCTTTCAGTAATATTACCCATGCAATACTACATGAAATTCCTTTTTTTCCCCTTCTGATTATAGACTGTTGGCTTAAGCCTTTTTGTCATTAGATTGATCAGTCTGCATCTGAACGGAACAGAACAATATTTCAGGCCTAAATTAGTGTGCATTTCACTGCACATGTGCTGCCATTGTTTTCAAGCCCATCCGTGCTGAGTAGCTAATTGATTGGTCCGAGTCATTTTTCTTTTTCAGGCTTTGATACGCATCTCATGCCATGACAAGCACGGTGGCAGAGCATGCGAAAGATCGCGAAAGGGAGTGCAAATGGTTGTAGTGAATGTGCAGCATTTTGGCAGTGTGTAAATGCATTGTGTGTCGTCCAAAAGGCTTCTGCTGCCTCATCCAGCTGGCAACAAGGCATGTGTAAAATCACTTGTTAATCCACAGAGGTTGTTTGTCTGTTCAATACAGTGCATGTGTTGCAGCAGAACAGGATGCACTTTCAGTTGTTTTAGCAGTCCAGGGTTTTCTACATTTAATTGGATTAGTCTACTCATGATTTGTCAAGCTTTCAAAGCTGATTACATAATTGTAACAGTACATTATTATCATTTCAACATGAAAAAATTAGCGGTGCACTGTATCATATTGGGTATTGGAAGAGATTTTGTAATTTAATGTATTGGTTGATAATAGACATTTAATTTTCCTTTGCTCGTTTCCTATATTTTTACATTTAGATTACATTTGCCGCTCACTGAAAAACATCACTTAAATATTTAAAATCACTAATATTTAAATATGAGACCACCTGACTTAGTTTGGTATCATCTAACTTATTGTTTTTGTACAAGTGGATCTGCAGTTCAATTACTGGATTTGTTGGCTTGAAACAGAAGTAACTGAGCTTTAATAAACACTCTCATATTTCTGTGTTTTCATCAACAAATTGCAGCAGGGAGATTTAACTAATACAGAAAACATCCAGTAGCCTGATTTGATATGCACGTCTATTATTTGGTATGCATTATGCATTAATATTGACAAAACGTAGATAAATTGCTTGCCTGGGTCTTATCTTTGACATTCTGAAATATAATATATTGTGCAACACCAGTGTGATATTTTCTGTTGTTCACTTTCGACAAACTTCCTCCTAGTTTTACACTTCTATTTCCTCTCTATGTCTGACTGAGAGTCAACTATGCTGAGGTTATTCGCGGGGGAAGTAGCTTATTTGAAATGCAATGATTTGCAGAAACCACTGGTAATATTTTTACACAATATATTAAGTAGGATGTTTGTGAAAGCTTGCAGCCCTACTGTTATGCCTGAGAACAGAAGCATGGTTTTACTAGCTGCAGGCGATCGTGTAGGTGATAACTCTGTGTTGAGCTGCGTCCTGTGAGTTGGATTGTTACTAGAACTGACTACTCAGCTGGCATTTGAACTTGACTGTAACCTTGGCCGTCTGAGTTGTCTGGCTCTACTCAGTGATGCTACTTTTTCATTCAATTGAGCAGCTGCTGGAATTTAGATTTATGGTGTTTTTGTCCATGGTAACAGTCTGTGAAAGCACTGTGAATTAAATGTATCATATCCCAGATATTCTTTCTCTCTCTTTCTGTCTTTAATTTGGACTCACTTGTTTAAATTTATGTAACCTGGTCTTTGCTTCACTGATTATTTGTTGCTATCTATTTATCTGGACAGGAAGTTTAGCCAAATACCAAATGCTTTTTTTCTGTGATACCAAGAAACAATGAAT